TAGAAGTTTGCGTGATGTGCTATGGTAAGCATTTTGAAATACAAACTGACAATACAACACATAGTTGGTACTAGATACCAACTTTAAAGCTTAAAAAATTTTTTTTTTTTTTTTTTTTTTTTTTTTTTTTTTTTTTTTTTTTGTTATTTTGGCCTTTCTCAACAAATATATGCCTGTATGTCTCTACATAGGCAAGAAAAAGCAAACCTATGAAGGTTTGCGATGTTCATGCAAGTGAATAAGACGTTTTTGCTGAGTTCTCAAAATGTGCTGAACTGTAAAAATTTCAACCATATTTGTTGATAAAGGCAATCACGAAATTTTGTGAGACTAACGCAAATATTTTTTTTTATGGTTTGTGGAAAACAACATTTGCACCATAAACTTATTAGTATAACTGATTCTAAAATTTAACTAAAGGAGTTCATTTTTGTTGTATAGCGAACATGATCATTCAAACAACTCGGATATCTCGATTTCTGAATTAAGCTCAATGCGTTTGCTTGGCGAGTTGAAAGATAATGATAACCGTACATGCTGGAAAGAGCATAATATATCACGTCTAATAGCGTACAGGATCATATTGATTGGATTCACTATGATTTTTGGACCACTCGTTTTATTCAGCATACAGAAAACAAAGTATTTGCAAATGCTTACTGTTGTTTATCGATGGTTGGGTAAGATGTACATATATAATTCTTCAGCTTTAATAATTTAATATTTCTGATTTTTATTTTTATATCAGCGTTTATTTTAATGATATGCATTGCCCTCAAAATGCTCGTCATTGATGGGGTAAGAGGACATCCAGTTGTCGTAAATTTTTATGGTATTCCCTCATTGTTTGGCGCCTGTGTTTACTCGTTCATGTGCCATCATTCGTTGCCCAGTTTATTGGCACCAATTAAACACAAGTCAATGATTAAAAAAATTCTTTCATACGATTACATTTTAATTTGTTCGTTTTACATAGTTCTCGCGATTACAGGAATTTTTGCATTTGAGTACGTTGAAGATCTGTATACTTTGAATTTTCTACCATATCACGCTACATCTGAAAGTTTATTTTCAACTTTTTTGATTGTTATCGATTATTTCCTGTCTTTGTTTCCGGTACTTACGTTATCCACTAGTTATCCACTTATCGCTATCACACTTAAAAACAATCTTCAAACTTTGTTTTTGGACATGTCCCAATATAATTCGTATAGCATATTGATACGAGCACTTTTCCCCTTTTTATCTATTCTTTTACCATTTTGTGTAACATATTTCACTGAAAACCTATCTATCCTAGTGGTAATTACGGGGAGCTATGCTGGAGTAGGTATACAATATGTCATACCTGTTTGCTTGGTCTATTATTCCCGTGTAACATGTTCTGAACTACTAGGAAGTGGGATTAAAAATCAATTTCAAAGTCCATTTCAATCAAATATGTGGCTAGTAATGGTGTTAGCTTGGTCAGTATTATCCGTATTCTTAGTGTCCATTAATTTGTTCAGCTAATAACCTAAACAAAATATATAAAACATGAGTTTTATTTTTAACAAAATCGGCTGTGAAATTTACTCATTAATAAACAGATTTGCTAACTTTGATGGATTAATTAAATATTTGATAATAATAGATATGATATTGAAACCACTGAAAATGTGTATATTGTATTTTTTGTATTTTGTATGTAAGTCTAGCAACCAAATCTACAAAATGGATACTGATTAGTGAAATAATAATAATTAATAATAATCATTATTGTAACGCTCTTAATTATAAACAAAAATATTGATCAAATGTAAAAAAATAAATAAACTCTACACTTAGTAGTATATTTATAACTCAAGTTGTCATTATTTATGTCATATAGCGACTTCGACCTCAGAATACAACATTGTACACGTTTAAAGCTTTTAATGTATGTGTTTATGTATTTATAAAAAACTTAGTAGCACTGTGTGTCATCCCATAAACTTCACCTCGATTTAAATGAAGTTTCATTTTAATAAATTTGGAGGAAAACTCCACGTCAGACGTAAGAATTAAAAAATCAATTGTCATGCGGTTATAACTGATACATTAATAGGTAAATAGCTATCGATTTTTAGAAACTCACTATGCATATATATATGTATATGTATATGTATTTATACATATGTATGTATGTACATATGCGCAGCCATTTACATGTGACTTAGAACATTAATAGACATCCCAAAAAGAACAACGCCATTGAGAGTAGTAATGGCTGGTGTAAATCAGATAAAGATAAAATTGAACTATGTGCAACAGACTTAGAGATTCAATTTCCACTCTTGACTCTTATTACACACAACAGAATTAATTAATTGCATACCGTACTTTGCATTTTAAGGAAGTTTTTGAAAAACATTCTTTCAAATTAGGAATTTTGCTCGAACTCAATTGTCCACAATATAGCATTACTGAACAATTACAAAGAGCTGTAGCCAAGGACACGAGAAACAAGTAAGAAACCTCTAGTCGAGAGTGCTCGACTAGATACTACCCTGAACCCAACAAATAACAAGTAAGAAAGCTCTAGTCGAGAGTGCTCGACTAGATACTACCCTGAACCCAACAAATAACAAGTAAGAAAGCTCTAGTCGAGACTGCTCGACTAGGAGATACCTTGAACCCTCTAATCTGATATTCTAATCATTCTGCACTTCTTTTATGCACACATACATACAGATGCATCCACACGCACGCATAAGCCTGCGCTCTGCTAACTGCGCAGTAAGCAGCGACTGCGCTTGGGCTGCGCTGCAATGTGGGC